AACCCGCCAACTGTCCACTTGGTAAAAAATGTCTTACTGAGAGAATCGTATACAAAGCCGAAGTAACAACCAGCACTGCCAACAACCAGGAAAAGAAAATATACATTGGCATGACGGCGGGCGAGTTCAAAACAAGATACCGCAATCACACTAAGTCTTTCCGACATGAGGAATACAAGAGCAACACCGAACTGTCCAAGTACGTCTGGAAACTGAAGTCAGAAAAAAGTCAGTATACAATAAAGTGGTCAATTATGAAGAAAGTCAAAGCATACAAACCAGGATCTAAACGGTGTAATTTATGCCTCGAGGAGAAACTACTTATTATGAAAGCGAAGAAAACTGAATGCCGGAACAAACGCTCTGACTTGTTTTCCAAATGTAGACATGTAACCAGATACCTGCTTAATCAAGTTGTAAAATGATAACCTATATTTATTATGAATATTGAATAATATCTGTCAGTTGCCTGATGATCGCGTAAAGCGTGAAACTCAGAGTAGCGACGCAAACATTCAAACCTTGACTGAATTATATATATATATACATATATATATATATATATATATATATATATATATATATATATATATATATATATATATATATATATATATATATATATATATATATATATATATATATATTAATATATATATAAAGAATAAAGATATTACTCGACTGTGATTGGTTGATTTCAGCAGTGCAGTTAACCCCAAACAGCAGTACAACTTTCTGTAATCATAGTGCAATTTTTTGTAATCACAATGCAATTTTCTGTAATCACAGTGCAAAAATCTGTAACAAACTGATCTGATTGGTGGAAAAAACATTGTGATGATTAAATCAACCAATAAGTTTAAAGCAATTTAGTTTTAAGAAGCTTAAGTAACGGTCATAGATAACACCGCGGAAAAACGTCTGCGCATGCGTGGGGGAAACAAGAAAGATGGCGAGGATGCCAAATTGTGAACAAAAACATGGCTATTTAATGATTTAAGTAATTATTGAAACAAACAAAAAATACACTAGACGGGTAGTTTAGACATGAATAAAAAGATTTTAACATTTAAAATATAAAAAGAAACAGAATTTAAATTAAAAATTACCGTTTAAGACCGGGAGGCGTGTGAACATTTCTTGAAAAATTGTCGAATACCGAACTTAAAGCAGAAAAGTTAAGAAAACTATAGAATAGTTAAGCATTTGCACACAATTAAATTGTAGAGTAAATCATTACCCTTAAATATAGTCAACACAAAAATTATACATGCTACGCAAAAAAAGTTATTGACAAAAATGTGGATCATATGAACCTACGAAAAATATCTTTGTATATGGTTCAGTTAAAGAACGTTTTAAACAATAAATTTATCGACTATCACCTTTGGTTTATTTTCTTGCATAATACTACTTCTTGCACATGTAGACTATAATTATTTTTAGGTTGTCACGTTCATTAATCCGCTTTCATTTTCATAGAAAAGGCAAAACATCGAAGTCGCTTCCATTTTGAGTTTTTGACAACGTTCGGAACACTTGACATCACGTTCGCAATACAGATTCCAGTAATGTTGACGCACGCGCAGACGTTTTTCCGCGGTGTTGTCACAGATTGCTTCAAAACAAAGCAAACATATGGCGCCGCGCTACACAAAGTAAAAGTTGCCTTCGCGTGGAAAATATGGCGGCTTTTATCGTTATTTTTAAATGGAAAAGCATTTTCCCTTAAACAAAACAAAAATTACATAGTTGAGTGGAATTTTCAAGCTGTTAGCGTTGTATAATGTGATATAGCAATGCCAGAAAAACTTTGCCAGTGGAATGTTCGCTATAAACGCGTAATTACGTATAAGTTAAAACTACAATTGTCTCGAACATTTTTCAGTATGTAAATTATTAATAAGTATATTGGCAAGGTTTCTCGTGAAATTTGGATAAACATGCATGCACTCGTAAGTTTTTCAAAGACCTCGTCCTTCGGACTCGTGCTATTTTGAGGTCTTTGAAAAACTCACTCGTGCATGTTATATATCCAAATTGCACTCGAAACCATGTCCATGCTACTACCTATACTAATATTCATTTGCTTGGTGTATTGTGATAAGCGCGATAGTGACTATGTATCATAGTTGCATTGCATGAATACTTATTTGATAGTTTGTGAAAATACACCACCATACAACGAATTCTATCGTATATACAGATAATAGTGCTTTTCGTTTATCCGAACTACAGGGTGTCTCAAAAAAAACCAAAATCATTGAAATTGACGTATTGTTCGATATTCAATGCCCTAGCACTAAGTTAATCCCACGAGTGCATAAAAGATTGACATAACTGCTATAATGAATGGTAATACTCAGCGTAAACTTGTTATGTCAGGCATAAAGTACTAAACCCACGAATGCATATTACGCATATTACAATTTACGAAGCATTTTTAAATTCCCATGAGCAAACAAACGTTCACTTTACAAAGATATTTTAATTTTTTAAAACAAATTAATCACCCTGTCAAAATCCTTTGTGTTACGGCATTGAAATTCGAACAATACGTTATTTCAATGATTTTGGGTTTTTTTGAGACACCCTGTAGAAAAACTATACAATTCTCAAATTGATTCTGCTAATCGTCCGCGAATCTTGATAATAGATAATGTATATATACGCTTAATTACCTGACAACAACGGTTCCTTCACGCTTAACTTGAATGTCAACCACTGTTCCCGAGTCCGAGTAACTGGCAAGGTTAAGCTCAGAAAATTCTGCCTAAAGTACAAGAGTCGATATAATAAAAATGGCGAACATTTTAAATCTTGTTACTCACTCGCTATATCTAAGTCAAACAAACAAGAAACTACCGAAAATACATGGGTAGACCAGACCTTAATCATGAGTCCTCTAACATTTAAAGTAAATACAGAAGTGTAAAATAAGTTTTTAAAAATCTGGTTTGAACGAGGATGTATCGAGAGCTTTGTGCAAAATTATCAATTACCAGAAGTTTATTAGACCTAACTTTTAAGAAGATAATGCTCTTAATATCCTAAATCTTCCCAGTGATTCATAAAGTTTATTTATTGGTTCTACGCAAAAGAAATTATTGAGAAAAATGTGCATGTATCAACCTTCGAAAAATATGAACCTACAAAAATATCTTTGTTATGGTTCAGTTAAAGAACTTTTTATACAATAAATTTATCGACAGTCACAGGGCCGCCCAGAGGTTGGCGGGGGCCCGGGGCAAATTTTTTTTAGGGGCCCCTATCGAAAAAAATTTTCACGGAAAATTTTTTTTCCGGAGAACAACCTCCCCCCCCCCCTTTCCGGAGTACAAAATTTTTCCGGACGAGTACGTTGCAATTGCTTTGGAGGGACTTTATCTCATTTTTTTATGCCAAAATTCGGTACTTAGCCCAAGAAAACAGATATCTTGTCCTTTGCGCGGAAATATTTAACACACAAAAAAGGCTGGGGCCCAACAAAAATTTTTCAGGGGCCCCCAGCAACTCGGGGCCCAGGCAATTTGCCCCTGCCCCCCCCCCCTCTGGGCGGCCCTGGACAGTCACCTGCATTGCATGGTTCATTTTTTTGCATAATACTATTTCTTGCACATGTAGACTGTAAATATTTCTAAGTTTTAGGTTGTCACATTCATTATTTATTTATATCGCTTTCATTTTCACAGAAAAGGCAAAACATTCTATTTTGAGTTTTTGACAACCTTCGGAACATACTTGACACCACGTTCGCAAGGCAGATTTCAGTAATGTTGACGCATACGCAGACGTTTTCCGCGGTGTTAATCGAAATAGGCTGCATGTACAGGGTGTCTAAAAAGAAACGCTATGGAAATTTAACAGGCTGCCGTGCATCATAAACGTGGCTAAACAATTAAATTTTTACATAAGACGAAAGAACAGTTATTTAATTAGCTTTTTAATGATACTCTTTTTAAATCGTAAAGATGAGAAATGGTCACATACTCGTCAAATAAAAATTGCCGGTCGAAATCACATTCTTCCACCGTTGGGAATTGCATGGAAAATGAAACATAAACAATTCCCAAGAGGGAATTAAAGTTGAATGTTAAATTATCTAAACTAAGCTCAATTGCAACTCGTCAATTTTTGTCTTAGTGACAATAAGAACGTCCATTATTGCATTAAACATCGTTCAATTAACCACTGAACAGAGAACATTCGTAATCAAAACGTTTTACGAGACAAATACCTTGCAGCGGGCTCGCGTTGCTTTTGGATTGATTGACTTTGCATAATTAATGTATTTTCAATTCCCAACTGTGGAAGAATGTGATTTCGAGCGACAATTTTTATTTGAAGAGTATGTGGCCATTTTTCATCGTTATGGTTAAGAAAGGTATCATTGAAAAGCTAAATAACAGCTCTTTCGTCCTATGTAAAAATTGAATTGTTTAGCTAAGTTTGTGATGCACAACAGCCTGTTGAATTTCCATAGCGTTTTTTTTAGACACCCTGTATAAATAAGATGTGCGGCGTTCACAGCCGTACAAACTATTTGCTTTCGTTTGTTTTCGACCACACGTTCACGCCCATAGATATCTTATATACACTAGATAGCGCATCTCTTTTAGTAAAATTGAAGCCAAGAATATTCTAGCGGTTACCCCCATTTGAATAGATGGCGGCCATGTTGCAGTTTCCCACTCGCTAATAAAAGCTTAAAAAACAACAATAACTTTCATCATTTGAATAGTTTGAAAATGTATTTGGAATAGGTTTAACTTAACGTTTAAGTTCCCTGTTTAAGAAATAGAAAACATACCAATCACGGCTACAATAGTTTTGAATTGCAGAATAATTAGATGCACTATCTAGTGTATATAAGACATCTATGTTCACGCCACGCCGAAGCGAAATAATGACGCCATATTTTACGTTAGCGGACTAAGTTTCGATACGCTTTCGCTTAGCCAGTCCACACTAGTAATAATAGTAGTTTATTACATTCACTAAATAGCTTAATAAGCTAAAATACAGTGTGGTTTACAGTGAAAGAACCTTTACTATGATAACAATGATAGAACTTTTACTATGATCGTAACCTTCCGTCAACGCCTAAAATAATTGAATGTGCATGTCTCTTAACATGCAAAATTTTCGTGTTATTTATCTTGAATTGACACTTCTTAGATCGTGATCCCACCAATGAGTCCAATGCCTGAAGTTACGCTTGCGCTTTTTCTTAACTTGCCTAATAGGCTTGTTCAATGCCATTACAAATGCATGGTTGTTTTCGTCTATTAGCTATACTAGCCAACCTCTGTTGCATTTTCAAGTCACACTTGCCAAAATCGTAGGGCTAGTGCTCAATCCGGCATTTTTTTTAGGCTTGGGTACTAAAATGGAACAAAACGGACGGAGAGGCGTTGTTCACATGAAGCCGCCATGCTCTCCGTTTTCATCTCGCTCTGTTTGGAAATCTTGCTCAAATTGTTACGGCAAAGTCGGACGTTTTCAAATGATTTCGCTCCGGCATTGCGTGAACACGACGGCTAATTGTGACTTTTCCGCGCTGTTTTTAATTATTAGAGAGCTTAAGATGTGGTAAATCTAGGACGCAGACGTGACAAAATGCACACCCTAAATTCGCAGTGTCAAAAACACGGGTAAAAAATATGGCTTCTTTTTGTCAACAAAGAAGGAGACAGGTGAAAAACAAATTTAAACTGGTAACAAATCCAAAAGAAAAGCATAAGTAACTGTCTTTTTGTCACGTAGTGTGAAGGTAATCATAATAAAATGTGCATGTGCGTATTATTTGACTATTCGTGCATGACATCACATTACATAGCAACAAACTACAAAAACGTTTCTGTGATATTTACAGGGACGCCGGAACGATGTGAAGGCAAGGGGGCAGATTTTCGGGGCGGGCGGCTTCCCCTCCTGCCCCCCCCAGTTCCGGCGTCCCTGGATATTTATATAGGCTGTTGCATGTTTTGTCCTGATTATGATCTAATTTAGTTAGACTGAAGTATGAAGTGAAAATTGATGACGAATGGGAGATTATATTCATGGGGTGTGATGCGGTTTGATAAAAAATACCAGTAGCGTCTCTCAAATATAGGAAACGTACATAATTTAATATGTTGCCAGTTTGCTCTAACCATGCATGTTAACCATAGATATAGGAGATCTAGATTGCTAACGCATACCTAGCGCAGGCGGGGCCTACATGATAAATCCAAGATGGCGGGTACAAGAGGGCAAAAAGACTATAGATTCTATTACGAAAATCAAGATTTTTGCATTTTTTGCCGTCGCATTGTTTTGAAACTTATTCGGTCAAATTTTATGGTAAAGAGAAACTTACCGCGAAGATTTTGAGCATATATATGATTGAATTGGATGAAAACTCGCAAAATTATCCAGCGATAAAAGTTCGTGTGAAATGGTCAGTTGGTCAGTTGGATCGTTTTATTGCCAGAAATACTGTGCTATGTTAACATTTAGTCTTGTGAATGGTGTTTTATACTTGCATCTTTCATCATCATCTGCTCTGTCCTCATAATTATGAAAAATGAACTGTTATGTACCCCCCCCCCCTCCTTGCTTGTTAGAGAAGTAAACTGATGAGAGCACTGGATAAGGGTCTATCACCTATGGTCTGTTATAATTTGCTTTCCATGCAAATAGTGAGCAAAAATTAAAGCAAAACTGTACAAGTTACATATATAGTACTATATCAGTACTATACACGAACTTTTATCGCTGGATAATTTTGCGAGTTTTCATCCAATTCAATCATAAATATGCTCAAAATCTTCGCGGTAAGTTTCTCTTTACCATAAAATTTGACCGAATAAGTTTCAAAACAATGCGACGGCAAAAAATGCAAAAATCTTGATTTTCGTAATAGAATCTATAGTCTTTTTGCCCTCTTGTACCGCCATCTTGGATTTATCATGTAGGCCCCGCCTGCGCTAGGTATGCGTTAGCAATCTAGATCTCCTATATCTATGATGTTAACCAAACGAATGTCTATAATTTCTCGTATTAATAATATAATTATAACATTATTTAATTAACGAACCTGTTCAACGCGTAAGTCTTGTATACTGTGATGAGCTTGCCGGTCTTTAAAAACTGATATCCTGACAAATATAGAATTTTAAAAAAGCATGAAACTTTTTGAATCCATCGATAATTTTTATATGCAGGAAAACAACAAGAGAACTCTGAACTACTACTCATACGCAAAGTATTTTTTGCAAAGAAATTCTCACGAACAAAAACTGGTGAATTAATAATTCGCGTTTTCAATTAGAATCGGATTTGTTTTCAAAATTAACTTTCTCTAACAGTTGGTTGTACTGGATCTCTTTAGATTCGTTAAATTTATATAAATACCATTTTAAGCTTTGTGAAATAGGCCTACTCTGGGGTGGTAAATCGCCTGAACTCGCTGCGAGATAATGCGAGTTTAAGGCCCTGTTACACGGTGCAATTTTTCATGCAACTTGTCTCGCAATGGCGTTGCGAGACAAGTTGCACGAGTCATTGCACCGTTTAACATGCCTTGCAATGGTCAAAATCGTTGCGAGTCAAATTGCATGAAGCATTGCACAGAGTAGAAGTCGGTTCTACTTTTAACCTGAGTATCAGGCTCTATTTTACAAATAGAGCCTGACACAAAACTTAACCTGATCGCTTTCCGCCCACAGCAAAGTTTATATTTAGTATCCAATCAAAATGTCGCAGGAGAAATTTAAATTTCACACAACGACAACAACAATTTAATTATAGCATAGGCGCCCACTAAACTGCTGAATTTAAATTAAAACTGCAATGAACTTATAAAATTAACAAAAATAATCACAAATTAGCGAAATATATTGCAAATGTAGCTTATATTAAATCGCCACCCGACTGCTCTCTCCTCCGCAGAGATTTCAGTGACTACAATGAGCTTTACATGGCGCTTGCCGTATTTATCAACAAACAGTGACGTATAATTATAAAGTATATATATATATTAAGTATACTTTATAACTATACGTCAGTCGATAGTGCAATCTGATGGCGATTTAATATAAGCTACATTTGCAATATATTTCGCTAATTTGCGATTATTTTCTAATTTTACTGCAGTTTTAATTTAAATTCAGCCGTTTAGTTGGCCGGCTATAATTGTAGTTGTGATCATTATAAAATATATCAACAACAATAGTATAATCTAATTAGCACCAGCCAATCAATTGACAGATTTAAAAATCGTTTGTCTAATCGGCCAATCAGCGCTCAGTCCAGATTCTGGACTGAACAACCAGGCAAAATGCCACTTTTGTGTCAGGCCGTACTTTTCTCCCCTTCGCCCACGATCAGGCGTGCCTGTGCCCTAAAAAGTACGGCCTGATACTCAGGTTATTCTACTTTTGGCAACGATTGCACTAATTATTTTTAGCATTGCAGCGTGTAACATGGCTAATTCGTGCAATTTGTCTCGCAATATTTATAGCTTGGAGAGTTCCTATTGGCTCACCCCAGTGCACGCTTTACTTTAATTAAAATTTGGCGCCAAATAATAGTAATAGTAACAATAATAATAATAATAATAATAATAATAATAATAATAATAATAATGGAAACTTTATTGTAATCCTATACATTAAAATACATATAAATTTGATAGTATATATAACCTGATAAAACTAACTCATGTGTTTCTCTCCAATGTAAACATAGGGCAGTCCACAGAGATTACAGACATCGCTATAGTAGTAGATACTTAGGATTAATAAAACTTTAAGATAGGCGGAGATGTCCATTGTTTGTTACGGCGTACATATATATAAAATGAGGCACGCATAGCTACTTCCATACACTTTTCAATCATTCTCTTATAATTAATGTTTGTATTTTTAAGAACACTGTATAAGTCATCTATATGTTTTGTTACTAGTCCAAGTGTTGTAAATTCAACGAAAATCTTTCTCCAGTGTCGAAACCTTTTCTTGCAATCATTTTGAATATCCCTATATTTGCTGATCTTTAGGTTCCTGCTCTTTTCAGAGTTTGTTTCAAAGCAACACGTCAATTCCAAAATGAAGATTCTGTCATCTTTTATTAGTACAATGTCTGGGCGGAATGAATGGAAGAATTCGTTAGGATTGTCAAAATTGTCTAGATCAGCATAGATTCGAAATCCGTATTTCCTTAGTTGAGATACATAGTGAAGCAAAGTGTAAAGAATTGAGTCATGTCGCCATGTGTATCGACCTTCATCTGCCGAAACCGGACAGGCAGAAAGCATGTGAAGTTGTGTTTGTTTGTTTGAGTAGCACAATTCACAAGATGGGTTATCACTTTTCCCTAATAATAATAATAATAATAATAATAATAATAATAATAATAATAATAATAATAATAATAATAATAATAATAATAATAATAATAATAATAATAATAATAATAATAATAATAATAATAATAATAATAATAATAATAATAATAATAAAATAATAATAATAAAATAATAAT